AATAATTATAGTGCAATGTTTATAATTACCTTCTGCCAGTAGTCGATACCGAATCTCATGTACCAGATGTCACAGTCGCGGTAGTCAAACCGGTGGATCACCGTCACTTTGTTGTCTTTGGGTTTAAGAGCTGTTTCTGTGTCACTGAGCAGACCTGGCTTCCAGCAGATAATACAGTTTTCACAGGACTGCAAAAATAAAGTACTGATGATACTTACGTTTCTGCAGAAATTTGTTTGAGAAATGAATATTACCAAGGCTATATGGTCCAAGGGAGATAATAACCTCCCTAGAACTCCTAGACATGCATAAACATAATTTCATTTTTCATGTTACATCTTAGAACATAACTCTTTATTGTCACATATTCATGGCCACATTTGGAAAAGACTTTTAACACTAGAAAATGCCTGTTTACTTATTGGGTCATCTCCCAAATTGGAGTCATGTCAGGACATTTGGGAAAGTATGCTTGTGACTGGATTTTTTTCCCATAGTGCCATCTTACTTGAATTTAACACCAGACACTGAAGCACACACCCAAGACCATTTTATACTCCACTTGGCTTATCAAAGTTATCACAAACTCCTAATGTACATCTGATAGGAACACATCAAATTCTTGAGACTAGAACTATTTGAGTGGAAATAAAATGTATTGGAAATATTACCAAACTTATGTAACATATCAAGCTAAATACCCAGCTATACTTCACCTAAGATGTTAAAAGGTCATTGAACAAAATAGAACCGTGAACCAAACTTCGATGTTGATTAAGTTGATGCTCAGATTGATCCTTGTTATTGCAAAAGGGGGTCAAAATTGGAATACATATGTTCTTGCTAATACAGAAAAGACAGATTTTTTTTATAAATATACTACAGGATCTGATAATCGGCATATTTCAACCCTATAGTGCACATGGCATCTTCCAAATAATTATAATTCAATAAGATAGAAAATATAACCACTAATGACTTATTGGATTTTCTCTATCATAGATGCTTACCTTAGACAAAACAAATCTACCAAGCCATCGCACACAGTCTACGTAGTTTCTGTGGACATCTCGCGTAGAAAAATCAGGGAAATGCTGAAATACTGTGGTGAATCTTCTGCAATGACATGAACATTAACATGAACATAAACATAAACATGAACATGAACATTAACATGAGGCCCAAGTGGATGCATATCATTTATTTGTGAATGCATCAGACTTTATCAAAGCATATTTTTGTTTTTTTTATTTGACTGAAATCAATTGCACACAAGGTTAACATGAAAACATGGGTTCATTTTATATGTTTTAGATCCATTTGACCATGCAAAATTGACCTCATTGGTATAAAATATATTTGGTACCTCAGGCTTAATCGTAAATTTCTTTCTTTTAAACAATTTTCTGTTAGTTTTAAATGAAATTCAGGAAACAAATGTTGTTTTTCTATAAAGGACCACTCCGACTGTAGGACATACGTTTTCCCCTGGGTGAAGTTGTAGGATTCTTTCAGAGCTGTTTGGATGGATTCATGGTCAGTCTTCCACATCTTTAAGGAATGATCCATGCCACAGGAAACAATAGTGGAACCATCCATGTTAAAGTCCTACGAAGTACATCAAATAAACAATATCTAAATAATCTTTGTTAAAGTCCTACAGAGTACATCAATATAAACAATATCTAAATAATCTTTATTAAAGTCCTACAGAGTACATCAATATAAATAATATCTAAATAATCTTTGTTAAAGTCCTACGGAGTACATCAATATAAATAATATCTAAATAATCCAAGTCGAAAGCCTCATGGAGTACATAAATGTACTTATGTACATATTTAAAATTTGTGAAACTACCTGTACTTTCTCAACATATCGGAAATTATATTACATTCTCAGACAGGAAAATCTCATGTTATACCTTACATTTTTTTTTGATCTCCTACAAGTGATTCTCTGCACCCCTAGATGACTAGATTTATGTCATGACAAAATTGAAGGCTTGCAGTAATAGCAATTGATTGGTGTCAGATAAAAAAAAACTTGACCAATTACTAGGCTGATACCTATCCTTTGAAGATTAAAGAGAAGCAACACCCAGTTGTTCAAAAAGGTGATTAGCCCAGGTTTTCATTTTTGTGTATCTATAAAACACAACCATTGAATTAGTTACAACTTTCCAGATATCCTATATTTCATAGAGTGAATTTACATGCAAAATTGTGAGATTTACCTTTAATATTGACAAAATTATTAAAGGTTGAAATTTGTCGTTAAAACAGTGATTAGGTAAACCACCTTTTGAACAACTGGGCCCTGACTTCTAAGCTGGTCAATTTCACTGTTACGCTACCGTGCATTTCTTTATTATGTACAAAGTGTCAAACTTGTATCATCCACCAGGTGACATGTGCAGAGCCATCAATTTCGTCGTGACATATTAAAGGGCAAGGTATGCAGGGGACGTAAGTGAGCGCAACCCTTGGAATTTCAAAGACGACTTGTGTGAAGCCTGAGTGGAGATATTCTGTCATGTACAGTATTATGGATGATATAATGAGTATACAACATTATATTACAAATGAACAATATTACAGAGGTATTTCATCAGGAGTGACTAAAGGGATCTTACAGCACTGAGAACTTCATCCCTATGTCCATCCACACCTCCAAATATCACCACATTTACATCTGTCTTCAGGTTCCAAATCCGTAATGTGTGGTCTGAAATAGAGCACATGATTAATGATTATGTAAGATGGTTGATTTGATTTAAAGTAAACATATTTCATTATGAACAGACAAACGGACTAGAAACAAGTTCTTACAACTTAGTGCATCTCTCCAGAAGCTGGTCAACCTCTATAAAAATACTTTATCAGATGTTTACAACTCTACTGCTTTGGCTCTCGGGATGGTTTATCTAAATTTAGTGAAAAACAAAATCACTAAAAATGTGAAAGTGTAGCCAAACAGTTAGGAGAGAATGATTCCATGTATACCTACAATATTTATCCGGCAATAAGCCCATGCTTGGTAAATAGCCCAACAATATATATTGCAGATTAGAAGAAATGCCCACAAAAGGTCTTTCCTCCTGTAATAAGCCCATCCTGTAACTCTCAGTCAAAGATTATGTGTTGGTCCCCTGGGCTTATTGCAGGACAAATACGATATATCCTTCTGGTTTAAACATTTTGAATTTCATGATGTGAAGGTCTTCAATTAATTTTTTAATCCATCATGTTCATTAGCCAACAAGATTGGAGGTATTTACCATTATTGATTTTCATTGACCTTTGAAATAATGTGTCCTCCTACTTCAAGTTTGGTGAAAATGAGGCTACAAACTCATGATCAGTCACTGTGAAATTACTGCACAATCACAGACGGATGGGTCAAGTAGGCTAAAAATGGGAGATAACTCACATAGAAAACATGATCCAACAAGTCCAGCCAAATCCACCCTAATCCAGCTACTGTGGGTGTGGAAACGGAGATGGTTGGACTATGATGATATGACTGTTGTTGTAGACTTACCCTTTGATACTGACAATAACATATTAGGGTCCCTGGGGTGAACCTTCAGCTCATTGATGGCATTACCATGGCCTTTGTAATACTATAATATAAACAGAAATAAACAGAAATATGTTTACAAAACATGCAGCCATTTGTGAGAGGTATAATTTTGAAGCAAAAATGCCCCCCTTTCCCATTTTAGGCCCTATTCCTCTGACACAAAGGGAAGGGGGCACAAAATTATTGTATACAGCCTTAAGTTCCCTTGATTCAAGGACAATCCAGACCAAGTTAGGTTAAAATTCCTTTACCTATATTAAAGTAGCACTTTGAAGATTTACCTATATTAACCCTATTGCTTTGCACTCAATAGAAGGGCAAATCCTCCATTTACATAAAAACTTAAGGATACTCATCAAGATCAAATTTGGTTAAAATCCATTAAATGATATGGAAGGAACAAGATTTTTAAGATTTACCTTCATTTCTCCTTTTTTGTGAGCAAAAGTCAAACCCATATTTAGCAAGTACTTATCACACTTTGAACGTTTAACCTTTATTAATTTGTTAACTGCTTTGAGACGACCTACGAACTAGGTTGTGATAAAGCAGTATATAAGAACCTCAAGTTATTATTATTAACCGTATTGCTCTGTACCTAATAGTGGCCAAGCAATGCTGTCTTTGGGCCAAGTGAGATGTGAAAATTATCCACTTACATCTCACAGGGCTAGACAATAATTATATAAAGGTAGTCCAATAGTCTGAGTCTATTGAAATATTCAGCAGGACTGCGGTTTCTAAAAACTGCTGGCCTGATTGACTACTCACTAGTCAAAATTTGATATTAATTACCATGTTGAATAATATTAGGTTAGTGGAATTTTAACAAGATCTAGTAAAATTGGAGACTTCTAGCCTGAATCAACCACACAAAACTTTTTTCTAATTATATTTGACATCACCCATACACAAAACAATTTACTTATACCCCATGTTCACCGAATTTTCATACTACTGTGCTACTTGAAACTAAAACCTCATTATTGAAAAGGATTTTTAAGAAAATAAGTTTGATATATACAGTACCTTGATACAAGACATTGTGACAGGGCTGATGATGCGGATGATTCCCTTGAGCCCGGCAGCTGCCAGAAGTGGCTGTCCAGTTTCTGGATCAAACGTCCAGGTACAGCAGTAGAAGTTTTCCTCACTATCCACACACTTACAATGTTAAAGAAGATAGTGGAATTTCTGTTCTAGCTGCTAATAAAATACTATAAAATACCTGACTTGTACTACTTTTTAGCCAAATCAGAGACCACCTTGAATCTTAAATTGATTCAAATAGTCATTCATACATAGTTAAGTAGACTATATATATATATTTCTGGTATTAGATCAATAGTCTCATATTCTATCCGAGGATACATGTAGAATTTGGGTTCAAACGAAAGCATTGCTTTGGGGTTCCGACACCAAATTCTGCACCTGAAGCTGAAGGCAGAAAATCCATATCCCACATACATGTACCTGCATAATGACCGACTCTTTTTCTCCCACATCTCAGTCAAAAGTTTGGTTAAACAGGACATAGAAAATGCAAATACAAAACTAAGTATAGCAAAATTTCTAGATAATGTATTCGCAAACTATGGCCATATTTAGAAAGAGCAGAAAAAGTTACAGATCTATCCAAGACCTTCAGAGCCGGCTTTCTTTAAGTTCCTGAGGTGGTGTCACTTGCCGACAGCCAGATTGCCACAGTCAGTCAAACAACGTTTTGATGAGTTTTCAATTGTGACATCATAACAAGTTGCTGTCATCTGGTTGTGACGACATCAAAAATACAGGTCACTGAGTGCATCTGTGTGGGATACAGCCAGGTATTCCACATGGGTGTTCCTCATATAGGACAGTTATTTCTCTCATTTCCGTGTGTATAAGGTAGAGCTGTCCAGGGTAAGAAAGGGGTGTAGGAAATTTCTACCCTACACCCCATTTCACGTGACGTGATTATGGCTCAACAATGACGTGATGTCACAGATTTAGAAAACTCCAAAGCCACAATGCGGAAAAGGAGTCATGATGAAATCAAAATCTATTAGGATATATTTATCGTACATGTTAGAAAGATGAGATTAATTTTTCTGCGCAGTGTTCTTGCAAATATGGGGTATGTTGAATCTGGCCAACAGATTCGTTTTTGTCTAAAAACTTGGGTGGGGGGGGGGGGAATTGATATTTTCCAAATGGTAGCCAGTCCAAATGCATTTTCATGGTTTCTGAGCTTATCCTGGTAGTTGGAATGAGAGAAAAATGCTCTTTCATGCCCAAGGGTGTAGGATACGGAAATTCCAACCTCAGGATTTTCAAATTTGGTCGAACCCGAGGCTTTATGAAAGAGTCTTATAATCTTACATACGCCAAGGTGAAAGAAAAAGATATAACCATAGAAAGTTACAGAATAAGTGCTATACATGTCTCTAACTTGAAGCTACAGAAAAATCACAGGACCTGTATAATTCCCAGATACAAACCCTAACAAATTATGATAACAAAACCTTACTAGGCATTATATTGATTTTTTAAGTAGAAAATAAATTGTTTAAGCTAGATTCAAGTCACTGCAAGAATCATTGAAGTACACAGTCAAAAGTTTCAAGGTTCTAAATGATCAAAGAACAGATTGGCTCCAGCTATAGATCAATAACTGATGATGGACAACCAATCATGGATGTGCACCAGACCTTCAGTAGCTGAAGGTGATATAAGTGGAAGGATACAGGGGGATCCATATAGGCTTGTAGTAGGTTGATCTTCCCTCCATCCAAACACTCGTACAAAGTTACCTGTTAAAATAGAGGAAAAAATATATTCATTAAACAAAAATATGAAGTAATGTAGTGAACAGCCAACAATTGTGTATGGTTGTTTGCCTTGTGGGTTGCTTGTACAAACTACAGTTAATACTACATATTAGTAAAGGCTGCATGCTTTCAGTCACTTGTAGACCAACCAGACTTTGGCTGGAATCCGTCTTTCTTTAAATTTGAAACACTGTTAGCATGCAACCATGTATACCACTTAAGAATCCCCACACCACTGCCAAAAACTGTAGCTAAGTGTTGGAGACTGATTTTGTCTGGCATGACTATAGCTTTGATAAATCATTTCTAATTAATAGTGTTTTGAGTGTAAAAATTCAGCGGGCTAGACCGGGATTCGAACCCCAGACTTCAGATTGTTATACCATCTTTCTAACCAATAGTGTCCTGTCCTAACTGTTCTTCACTTATATTGAACAAAAGTTAAGGGGAGGTTACTGTATATAGGAAAAAACACAGGGTAGTAGGACAGGGATCTATTCCTTAAAGCAAGTGATTTACATCAGAATAATTAAAATAAAATAAAAATGAGTTTCATGGTTCGAGTTTGTAAAAAACAAACAAAAAACAAGGGGATTACTTTTATTAACTAGAATTATGTCAGTGTGACATTAAAGCCGCTCACCTCTTTAAATTTAATTGCTTCAGCATCAATATCTACTATAATACCTCAGATATGTGTTCTGTATTCTGCTAATTGAAAATCAGGTCATGTGATGATCATGATGTTGCAATTGGAATTTCCAAAATCAATCACCTCTTAAATGATGCCTTAAAAACATTTCTCCCTCTCCAAGCTCTTTATTCACCCTCTTTTGTGACGCATTGTTGTAATTTTTATTAATTAGCATCTTTCAATGATGTGACATGAGTATTTACATGCAGAATGGCAATCAGTGAATGGGTAATAAAGAATAGGTGCATTTTGTGCTTGTGAAATGAAGGATATATAACTAACAGTAGTCAGGGAAAACATGCATAGAGATAAGAGACATTGTACTCCTTTTTATTTTTATTTATTTTTCATTCATATTAATAAAATTATTAATATATGTAGTGACTTTATTAACTGTCATTGAATATACAATTCATCACAACATCTCACAAATGTTCTTGGAATATATTTAAATTATATTTCTCAATGTGACTTTACCAACGAAAGAGTTATTTCCCTTACATCGATTGGATAATGTTTTGACACAGCGCAAATTCTTGTGAAACAGCAGCGCCAGTTGTGTCATGTTCTTAAATTTTTACATTTTCATAAATAAATACACCAGAAATAGCATGCTGTGTTACAGAAATAATTGATAAGCATACACAGTTCCCATATCGTCTCGTCTCAGAGCCACGTCCTATAGCAACGATGGTTTATTACCGTTATCAACCTAAGCATGATATGTCATATTACGTTCCCGTTTGAAACATCAAATTAGAGGTTATACTTCATCACTCATACGGTTTATAAGTATATATATTTACTTCTTCCTTGTACTTACAAAATATAAAAAGCTAGACCGTACAGACAGCGTCAATGCTTGACAGTCTTCACATGTGCTGTCATGAAAACAAACACTCCTCCAACCGTAATCCGAGTTGCTAAAACGCTCAAACCCAGTGCACGAATTTCACCACCACAACACTCGTAGAATGCACTGGAGATAACTGTTTTGTTTGGTGAAGGGTATCAGAAGCTTTATGTAACTCACAGGTGAGTGTCAGAGATTCTACTTTCTATTTACGATAACGAAACTATATAGCGGAAGCATGCAAGACTGAATTAATGCGCACGCACCCTGAATGGAAGTGGGTCCGTAATTTGTTATCTGGAAAGAATCAATAAGCCGCTCGGCTCTCGCCAACAGCGGCTTAAAAATAACATTGCAGAATCACTCATGTCTAGGTATAGGTTTGTATGTAAATTGTCCTATTACAATGAATCTTACTCTGTTTGATCCAACTGTAGCAAAAAGGATAGGGTCCCCTTCTTTGGTGAACTGGTTGATATGAAGTCCAAATAATGGTTGTCCATGGTCCTCCTAAAAACAGTTTTTGCAAATTATCAAATCAAAATATATGTATATTCAAAATCTACATAATGTTAGTAAATCACTTCATATTTTTAACATGAAGAAATTTGATGGCATTGTCAACACTGCAAGTAGGAAAAGTCATAAACTGTTTTAAATGTGCAGTCCAAGTTATGCATATAGCATATGTGTGCCAAAGTCATCACATGTACACTGTACATACCAATCTAATAAGAATCCATTTGCTATTAAGCAATCCGATACAAAAGCACTGTTAAATTCAAAATCACTCTATATAAACCTTAAAGAATTATTTTCAAAAAATACAATTTTTACCATAGTAGCTATAGCTACCTATTTAAGATTTTTGCCTGGCCTATATAGGTATGACTAATTTATAAATTCAGCTATATGTTCACCGATTACATGTATAATGTCTGCTGGATAACCGAACGACTCGGTAGTGAAGCAGACGTAAATCCAATCAATCAATCAATCAATCAAACAAAATGTCATACACCAGGGGCGTTTCTAGGATATTTGAAAGAGGGGGCGTAAAATCAAATCTTTCGCCTAGCGGAACGAGGCGAATAACTTTTTGGACCTTTTTTTGGCTAAAAAACATAAAATAATTGTGAAATGCACTAATGTAACGGTTCCTGACTTGGAACATGTATATTTTATAGTTAAAGTGTCAGGGTGTTTATGTGTTTAATTAATGAATATGATAAATTGCCACATTCAATACAATATTAGCAGATTACGATAGGTTTTTTTTGTTTTGAAAAGGGCCCATTACGCCCTCACCTGGACCCGCCCCTGAACACATCTCACAAAGTTACCTTGATATAATTTGTGCATTTGTATTGAAGTTTACACCTCTTGTTTTTGTTTTTGCCGCGACCAAACCGTCGCTGTGTGGGCGGAGTTTCACTGCGGATAGAAGAGTCTTCCATGATGGTACTGGCTGTACTAGATATATCATCCTGTGGAAAGTAAAACATATGAATATTACATGAGCGCCCTAATAAGTGTAACATACAATGTATAGGAGAGTTCGGTGTTAACCTGCAATAATTTTAGAATTTTCCCTGTTAAAAGTGCTGCAATAGGGGTAATATTTTACAACATAATAATACAAAAACACTTGCCATTGTATGCATTATAAGAGTTAGAGTGAAAAGAAATGCAGTGATTCTTTTCGTTTTATATATAAATGTAAACAAAATTGTTTACTTTTAATTTAGTGGCGCCTTTTTCAAAATCTGTTTATCAACTTCAGTGAACGTTGATTATCGCTAGTCTATCAACAATTGCATTTGCGCTACTTTCATGACAATGTAAAGACGATTTCTCTTGTCGCGTTCAGAACACAGCAGAAATATCGTTCTTATATCAAACCATGTAAAAGTCGTACACAAGTCGAATGACATACATGTGCCGTGCATATAAATACACATTCGCGACGATATGAAGTACTGATGTAGTGACACACATTGAGTTTTAAATATTTAATTTGACACATCAGTAGTCAAATAATCCATGTTATTATTATGAAAATCCTAACAAAAGAACATAATCAACCGCCGACAATCATCCAAGTTTGGTTTCGGTGACAATCTCTGCCTATTCAATGTTTCCATAAAATCTCGTGGTATCAGAAAGCAACTAAAATATCTAATTGTTTCTCTTTATATACCTGTTCGTCTCCAGAGGCATCTGTGTACGTTGGAACCACCAATCGCGAGCGTTTTTCTCTTTGCAAAACAGGCATGTCTACGTTAATGTCTGCGGACATCTTGATTTTCTTTGTTTCATCACGTGTTGGTCATGTGACATTACATGTTATGGCGGGAAAATTAGCCAAAGGTTTTGTGAGCACATAGAGTCAAGATCTTGTTTGATGTCATAGGCCAAAAGGGCAGCTGAAAAGAGGAGTTTATCTGTGTTAAGAACAAGCAAAACTCTAAGGCTCTTTCCCTATATAACCTTGCAAATTTTCATTTATTGAAGTTGGTTGAAAAATTACAATTGTAATATTTGTGTCTGATAATCCGGCCGTGATTAATTATAACCAGGGACGTATATACTGTCCCTGTTATAACGAACTACGATCAATCACATAATGTACTGTATGTGTTATCCAGTGAATATACCCATGTCTTATTATTTTGCGTATTAACCCATATGTAATATAAGTGACGTCACGCATCGGACAAGTACACGACGTCACAAACTTACGCACCGGAGTCAAAATGGCAGCTTTTTGCATGAAACTTGCCGCTTTACACAAATAAATGCCAAAAATCTTGACTATGTCATAAACAGGATCTTACACTCTTTTTTATTTTAGATGAAATTTATGAAACTCGTCACGAATTTTTCATTGTAGCTCGCCAGAGGCTCGCTAAAATGAAAATTTCTTAAGACTCGTCTCATAAATCTCATACGAAATGGAAACTCATGTAAGATCCTATATATATAATTTCAAAATTGTTTTGGATATCTTAAGCTTTGTCAAAAGCCTAGCATTGACATTATTATCAAAAGCCTGAATTCAAAACAGTTTTAGATTTGATCGAAAACCTTAATCTCTAAAAAGGTTTTAGATTTTTGATGTTTTTGATAAACAACAAATCAAAACAGTATAACTGCCGGCGGGGGCAGTGTTCCTGGACAATCTCTGCCTAGAATTAGAGCTGTCGTTCCTTCCTTACACTTACTGTAAGTGATTATAGGGATCACAGTGATCTGAGGATATGTTACAGCTATATTTGGACCTTAGCTCAGATGTTCAGAGTAATTTTACACATTTAAGGGTTTTCAGACCAACTTTCGGTAAAAATGCCATCCACAATGATGATATTTCGGTAAAAAGACACCCCAATGATGATATATATCAACGGGGGGAGGCGGGGTGGGGGTAAATCTGTAACAAAATGTACGGGCCCTTTGAAAGAACGACATCTCTGGGTGTAACTGAGAGAAAGGAAACTCTGGGCAAAGTCCCTACCCCAGCCCCACCCCAGGCGTAGGTGGCATATATTCGCTTCTAAACGGAAACGCGGCTTTATTCCTATATGTATATACTTCCCACATTCAAAGCTGCGAAGCCCCTCTCACAGTATCAAACAGCTACCCCAATACCGCCCATCTCTTTCCCGTAAAAAAAAGTAATCAAGAAGATTGCCACACGCGAGTTTATCTTGTGTTCTAATATTCCAGATACAATGAATCCCACCGCCATTTGTATCTTTATGATTTAAGATTTTGAAATTTTATTCATAATATGAATAGTAGCTTACAAAAAGCTCTGTTAATTTTAACGTAAACTTACGTTCTGTATAGCGTGTTTTGAAAGATGTTGATGGTCGATGTTTTTTTTGCCCGAAAATTATTGGCAAAATTAAGAAGGGGTGGGAGGGAAGGAGAAGAAGAGGTTTAAGGATCTGATTTAAGTGTTGAATGCGCAAAGCCTTTCTGTGATGCGGGTCCTTGGGTATTCAGCCCTCACCCCTCCTCCCTCACCCCGAAAAAATAAACGAAAACAATTGCGTTAAAAAGTCTCCAAGTAAAATGGTTACATTAGTAACGTAATATTCTCGAGTGTAGCGACTGTTTTTTCTCTCTATTTCGTAAAACACCCATTTGCAGTAATGTAAAAAGATAGTATTGGCATTTTAAACGATGAAGAAATAATGGGAAACCAATGTTTTAATGGATATTAATCAAAATGCTTCTTGATAAAGCCATCCCAAAACCAAACAGTGATTGTTTTGCTAACATTGCTGCCATTGTGTGTCTGAACTGCACTAAGGCTAGCACTTACTATACAAATAATTCAACGAAATGATCAATTCGTATATTATTCTTTCGGTTTCGGTTTGGAATACTTTCTGAAACCTCCAGATGTTCTCCGAAACTCGGTTTGGAATACTTTCTGAAACCTCCAGATGTTTTCTGAAACTCCTGAAAGTTGTATGCAGAAATCCGTATAGGTTTACTATAAACGTGGCTATTGCTGATTCAGTTGAATAATAAATAAAAAGTTCCCATAATATTATGAGTATTTAATTCAGATTGAACGTTTTTTTTAAAGTAAATCTTATTTACTATTGTGTATATTGTGCATATATATAAATCAGGGGCGGATGTGAGGAGGTGTGTGTGTGTGTGTGTGTGTGTGTGTGTGTGTGCAAGTGGTTAAGGCGTCTGACCTTCTGCTACCACCTCCACCACTAGGTCGCGGGTGACCTACGTGGGACGGTCGCCAGGTACTGACCGTTGGTCAGTGGTTTTTCTCCGGGAAATCCGTCTTTCCCCAACCATCAAAACCTGGCACGTCCTTAAATGACCATAGCTGTTAATAGGGCGTAAAACACTAACACACCAAACCAAAATATATAAATTACACTTTTTGAATGAGTTTACTGCGTTTTTACGCGGGTGTCACATGTATGTAACAGTTGGCTAAGCCAATTCGTAATAGTATTTTGTATTTTCACATACTATGCAGTCCCCTAATTATCAGCTAGGTCCTTTGAGACGATTCTTTATCATGGGTCAAAGTTTTGTGAAATAATACTTTCTGTCACTTTCCGATACATCCTTTTTTACTGACCACCTGTCTTATACTACTTTTAAATAAATAGGTCAATAGATTAGAAAAAATGCTATGACGTATAAAAAAAAAACCAGTGTGATATCGACGGAAAGAGAAGAAAAAAGTAAATGAAAATGTGAAAAAGTCATTTTTTTTTTAAATTACACGACCAGTAGGCTTTTCCGTTGAACACTCACAGGAGCCAACAGGAGAACATCTGTTATATGAACAGAGATACATCTGAAGAGAGGAAAACGGAGAGGAACCGTGAAGTTACAGTTTACTAAGTAACCACAATGTAATTAACTTCTTGTAATCGCAGTAACACCGACTCTCACAAATCTGAACACTCGCTCAACAGGCTCTTATGCTAAAAGAATTCAGGAAATGAAGCGCTGTAATAACTGAAATTTACTTAAATACCTATACTAAAGTTGTCTAGACTAAAGTGATTCTATCTTTATAATCATGCATGTTATTACCCTAATACACGTGTATACTTTTTCATCTTCCTCTGCTAAGAGTAAATAAAACGGGGAACCATTAACTGTTTCTTTTAGAAAGAAACTTCTACATTACATGTTTCACGTGACAGACATGCATGTTTAACTGGTCACGTGGCAGACATACATATGCATTAGGAATCTGATCATCACCAGCTCTCATCAAAGCAAATATGTGTCAAAAACTTATCCAACAACAAACATGGAAAAAATACATAGATACATGTACAGTGTGTACATACATTGTATATTTCATGTTGAAAAGTCACAATTTTGATTAAATACAAAATAATGAGTAACCTTTATAATTCACTATATATCAATCGCATATAATTCTATAATAAACAACTGGTAATAGCGGATTCATAAGAAAATAGTGAACTGTGAACTTACGATCACAAACTATACTAACAAACATGAATAACTGGAAATTAAGGAACATTCAGAGATGGAGTAAGAGACGGAAACGTCTATAAACGGACAAGAGCCCGGTAGATCCTGGTACTGCTTGGTTTGTTTTGGTTGCATGGATACGGACCAAAGCCTAGTACCACATAGTTAAGTATCCCTAGTCAGATAATATACTTTCGGTTTCGGTTTTGATGTTTTCCGAAATATCCAGACGGTCAGTAGGTCACATACAGAAAACGGCTGAGATTTTCACTAAACAAAAGCCTCGAGTGAAGTGGAACACGTTGTCAGCTTTGTGTTTCGTTAAATCATGCTATCATTTATTATCACTCGCTTTTCATATAAACAAAAAACGCATGCAAGCATTTCCCTCGTACTTTCGTTTATTAAGCCTAAAGATACGAAAAAGAAAACCTTACCAATCCACAGCCGCGAGTTTTTCAAGGGGATGGACAATCTAAATCTAAAACCTACAAAGACACAATACAATTGATTACATAATGAAACACAGCGCTCACATATATAATTCCTATT